GCAATTCTTTTCTCAGATAAAGAGAAATACTTTGCTCATGTGGTTTCGAAAGGTTCCCTTTCCTGGTCATTTCAGAGTGGGAGGCATTCATTCTGAAGGTCAGAGAAGTCATGACACATTATGGGTAAGCTCATCTCTTACTTCACAGTGAGTTCAGAAGAGAATGATGTAGGCAGCAAAGCAAGCCATGGTCATGATATTCTGTGGCAGAACATTTGGGTTTCCCTACAGGTGGAATCAGTATGAAGTGAGTCATTAGTCATCCCATTTTCTGGAAGACTCAGAAGAGAAAAAGTTTAGAGTGAAATTGAATACAGACTTATGATTCACTTCTGTCATTCACAAGGGAGGATGATGTTCTGCATTAAGCTTGTTCACCAAAAAGGCTCACATTAGTCTGGTTCTTATGTCAAGTGCCAACTAGAAAAGAATAGAAAGAGAACACAGGCTTTTTGAAATCTTTATTGAATCTTACTTATGTTAGGAACAGGTAAAGACGCTTTGTTCAAACATGTCCTTTGTATATGATTAAAAAATCTGATGAAAAAAAATCTGATGGAGACAGTGGTGGTAATGAGCAATGTGAAGAGCTAAGTAGTTAAGGAAAGGGAAAGGGACACAGGGAAATTATGAGTGCTGTAGATGACTGGGTCAGGAGAAAAGGAGTAGAAATCTCACCTGGGAAACTGAGTCCCACTTCACACTGATCTGCATAAAGGCAAAAGATAATTTAACTCACCATGGATTTGATGGATGAAGATTCCCATTCAATAGATTCCCCAGTTGGAGATGGTTCAAAGAGCAAAAACCTGACTGATAGAAAAGACCCTGCAAATGCTATTGTGTTTGTTAATAGGAAACCACCTGTAACTTCAAATTTTCAACAGTGGTCATATTTAAATACAAAAATCTACTTCTTTGAAGGCTAAAAAGTTCTCTGAATTGAGTGTTGACTCAATGTTCAAGGCTCCCACATTAGAAATGCAGATGTGTCGGGAGAAACGATTCAGGGATATGTTAACTTGATTTTTAGTTAATTGTTTTGGATCAAAACTTGTTTTCACATCTGAAGAACTAACACCGCAAAAAGGATGTAACATATTAGGAATCTGAAATTAAGGGTTTTTCCTATTTTCCTATAAACATTTCTGAAGATTGCTTTCCAGGTAGGTCAGTGGGGCAGGGTGTCTAGATTCAGGTACTTTCAGTCAATGCCTGTTGGAGGACAATGGTGAGAGCTTGTATTTGAAGATTTCTAGACTCTTCCATCTTTTCTATGATAATATGGTTGCTACTGTAACATTCCTGGGTTTCATAGTCTGGAGAGAAATGGCCAGCCTGGGAAATCTCCCAAACTGTGAGGATGAAGAGGAATGAATATGGATGCTGGAGAGAAGGCTTTCCATTCCTTTGTTATCTAACTAGAAAGTTTGACAACTTCCCCATTTGCAATTATATATAGAATATCTGGAAATTCTTCATATTCTTTATAGAGTCACTCATAGGAGGATACAAAATCCATTTGGGATAGAAATTGGGTTAAAAAAAACAAAATAGGGCTGGAGAGATGGCTCAGTGGTTAAGAGCATTGCCTGCTCTTCCAAAGGTCCTGAGTTCAATTCCCGGCAACCACATGGTGGCTCACAACCATCTGTAATGATATCTGGTGCCCTCTTCTGGCCAGCAGGCATACACACAGACAGAGTATTGTATACTTAATAAATAAATAAATATTTTAAAAAAAAAACAAAATAAAATAAAAAACCTTTCCCCTTCCATAGTCTCCTCTCCTTTTCCCTATTCTTCTCAGAAACAGATGTTTAGTTGAGGGTCCCTTGAATTTGTGCTTAGGCTCCTTCCTGTGTCTCAGTCCAAGTTGCCAGATGTATGCCTAGTTAACAAGTCTATAAGCCAGACTTTGGTCTCCTACCCAGTCTTTGCTGGCACACTAGTCAGTGTGGACAGTGTTGGGTGGGAAGCTTTCTTGACTGTTTTATGGCTGATGGTTGCTTACTGCAGGTAGGTTCAAAACTCCAAACTCAAAAGCCTTCTAGACATACCATTCCTGAGATTAGCTCTTGTGAGTAGTAGTTAGGGAGCCACTTTTGGTCTTTGAGACATCACCCTCCATTCAAGTAAAGAGGGTTCCAGTAAATGGATTTAACCAAGTAGGATGCAGTTCCAAATTTACACAGCTCTCAGAACCTCAGCCCACAGCTTCTCATTTTCTCTCTCATATCCTCCCTCATTTCTCGTTAACCAAGGCTTCTGCTTTCTACTTTTCTCCCAATATTTCTGACCAAAGGCCAGATCTCTCAATATTCGGAATGCTTCCCTGATCTCCACAGGCAAACCTCTTCTAAATAAAGATGACTATTGGCCACAAAATTATCTGCAGAAATGAGCCTGTTTAGGCTTGAAAGTTTTAGCCCTTGGATCACTACTGGGCAGGGCTAGGTAGGCTTTTGATGGCACACAGAAAGACAAGGTCTCTGGAGTTTATCCATCAATAATCTCTAACTCTCTACTGAGTTTTTCACTATAGTGAGTAGAATCAACCTCGACTCATGTGATTTTGAGATGTTGGGCCCAGAGTAACTTCTGAGGGTACCAGGCTCAGTGAAGGAGACTGGCACAAGCCCAGTGAACTGACACACTTCAAGGCTTGCTTATTTATCCTGTTTGTGGTTTCCTCCTTTAGCAGATCTTGAAGTCAACAAAACTCCCCACACGGTGGCTCTCTTGACTAAAGTTGGGCATTGAGCAGTGAATTTTAAACAAGTAGTCTTGGAGATTTTAAAATATTTTTCCAGATTGAACTCATTTCAGAATTCAAGTGGGAGGCAAAAGTGAGGATTTTAATGCAGTTCACCTTTGACTTGGAGAGAGGTAGAAGTCAGGAAAAGCCAATGTAGGCAATAGCTCTGGGCAAGTTTGTTAAGAAAGGCTGCTCTGCTGGATTATCCTTCTTATTCACTGCAGGGTCTTTGTTATAAGGGTTAGGGAAGGCAGCCACCAAGCATATAATATAGGCACTCCTGCAGACAGATGTAACACAATACAGAGAGAAATGAAACGTCTCCCACATAGAAGTAGTTTGTTGAAAGTAGGCTATATAAGGCTAGATGGAAACTAAGAGAAAACAGGCAGCTTTGGATCAGTCATAGCCAGGAAATAAAGAAAAAGTTTGATTCATGGAGGAAGAAATAAATCTCAAAAAGGGGAAATAGCATTAAAGATGAGTGATTCATTTTTGCCCTATGCCTTTGAAAAAGTATACAGAATGGCATATTTAAACACTAATCCCAAATCACACTAACAGGAAACACTCCTACTTAATTGTAATTTTCTCTAATTTTTGTGTGTATAAGATCCAAATAGTTAAAATGCACACTAATGGTTATTGATGCTTCTATTCCTTTTGAAAAGAAAGATACTCAAGTCTTTGTGGACCAGAAAGTTGCTAATCTGGAATTACTCAGGGGCTCAGAAAGTTCCCGGTGGATGTGGTCTTTCTTTATTACTTTCTTCTTCCCATTTTATTTTTTAGTTAAAAATACTAACTATTCCCAGGTAAGTGTTCCTGTTAGCAATCGTCAGCAAGAAAACTTGGGCTAGGAATCCTCCTGCCTTCCAGTCTATATTTCCCTAAACAGAATTCAACTTGTGAGAGAAGTGTAGGGCACGCATTTCTCATTCTCACATTCTTAAAATTTCAGTTCCTGCAGAAAACACAACGCCATGGTTTCATTTTTTAAAATCAGTAAGAACCACAAAGGTTGTGAAAGTGTGCAAACAAGGAAGGTTGAAATCCAAATACAAGGACTAACTATGAAGAAAAAGCTCCTCACAGAAATCTAAGGCAGGGATTAAGAAGGTTCTGAGCATTGGGATATTTGTGGACACAGGATGCAAAGGGAAATGGATCTGAACAGCAGGGCGATTTAGACAATGAATTGCCACAGTAAGAACACCACTGTCAAACCTTCAGATTTAGAGGCTGTGGTGAAAATTAAGCCAGTGGCAATTTTCAGTGCTTGTAGCATCTGCGCCCAACAGTTCAGCACCCAGAGCCTGGACAGCGCCACAGGCTTTGCTCCCAAGGCTGCCTTCCCTTCTCATCAATCTGCTCAGAGACAGACTGTCAACACAGCCAGACTCATTAGATAGTTACTGAAAATCCTCTAAGACTTCCCTTTCAAACGCAAAACGACTTCCACATTTAATTGCCTATCTGAAAAAGCACAAGCAAGAAATTAAAGAGATCGAAATTAAATTTATTAATGGGAGAGCTTGATGGTATTTAATTCTAAAGATCAGAGTTGTCCTCGATGGGGTTTGAGTAAAAAGTATAAAGAAGAGACACAATAAAAACATGACTTCACCATCCCATAAATTCCACGAATTCTTCACTTGTCTTTGAGAAATGGGTGAAATCGAAAACCATCAAAATAATTGAACTTCTTAAAAATTGGATTGTGCGAGTGAAAGGTGTTTATGAGAAGCTGATGACTCCGGATCTTATCATCCTGGAGGACAGCACAGAATAGTTAATATGTTCCTTGAGGGACTAGGATGCTGACGTCTTTTACTGATACCGGATCATTACGTGACTGAGAAAAAAAAAAGGAAGTCATATCATGAATAAAAATCAGAGCACTACAGTGCAACCAAAATATTCTGTACTTGAAGGCAACTGCAGACAGATGTTGACAAAGAGGTGTCTCTTGAAACCATATACGGGTAGTTTTTTTTATTAACTGCATATATAAATACGAGCAGAAGGCCAGCCACCTCTGTCAGCATCAGCAGAAGCCCCATCTTCAGACGCAGCCTGAGACCTCGGAACAGAGAAGGTGCCTCTGACTCTTGCAAGCTGCCGGATCATCTCCCACAGAGGCCGGCAGCCTGGGCTAGCCCTCTCCTTTCCTATCCTCCCTTCTTCCTTGACTTTCCTTCTTTTTCTTACCCACTAGCTTCTTTTCCCAGGCGGACTTAAGGCCATTCTGCTCCCCCTCCCTTTGGCTGCTCGCCTACTCGTCTTCTACATCTCTCTCTCGCCCACTTCCTTCAGTGTCACGCTCCTTCCTAATTCTGTGCGTCTACAAAGTTTTGAGCGGAATTTTTGCCTCGGCAAACAAGTCCCCCCCAGCTCCTCCAGCTAATTCCCGCGGCTTCTCTCCAGACACCAGCGCCAGACAGTGAGTGATGCCTCTCGGGTTGTGATTCCAGCCCGGAAACTCAAAGGAGCCCTTTGCCCTCCGTCCTACTTGGCAGCCAACACTCTCCTAGCAGCGGTAAGAGTCAAATAGTAGGGGGGAGGGGGGCTTTAACCAAACCATACTAACCTATTCAATTTACTATAGACTCTCTCCCGCGTGCTGGCAGCAATATCAGTGTACGAGTTAGCTTTCTTTAGTTCAAGGTCTGGCTAGTTACTGGGTACACACACATAGCTATTTTTTCGAATTATACCAAGGGAGAAGTGGTCAGACGCACCAGCGTGGCTAAGTGGCGTTGAACACAAGGAGCCGCAGCTTCTCTGGCTCTCCCAGCTCCCAGGAGTTTTTTGAGGTTAGGAGGTGGAAAACCAGGGGCAATCTCACTTACTGCGTGCCCTTTTTTCTCTCCTGCTTTGTAGAATGACCATGTGTAGCGGAGTGAGGCTGGCCTTGCTGGTCTACGGGATAATAATGCATAGCAGCGTCTCCTGCTCACCTGCCGCCGCTGGACTCCGTTTTCCTGGAATCAGGTAGGTGCTAGCATAGGCTGAGCTAGATTTTCCTTTCGCCAGACACCACTTCCCGGTCGCCTCCCTACAGTTCTGGATCGCACGCTGCTAAGCATAGCTTCCTGCGCAGACAGGGCATTTCTATAGCCTTTGGTTAGGTACCAGGTCCCTAGCTAAGCCGGAGGGGGGGGGGGCTGGGCTGGTCAAGGAAGCTCTCGTATAGCCAGCCTCACTCCCTCCTCACCAGTGGAGCCCGAAAACCCACATAAAGGGAGTGAGTTTCCGACCCTGGTAGAAACCTTCTCTCCTCCAATTTGTTTAAAGGAGGGGTCAAGGTGCCTCTCTCCGCTTGGCTTCTTTTACCTTTTCTTAGCATGAGTTGGAGAACTTCCGCTCCCAGAGCAAAGCCGGGGGCTGAGAGTGAAGCTCGCTCCACTTTGCTTTGTTACTGCCCATTCTGGACTATTGGGGCGGGGTCTCTCGCTCCTCCGCCCTTCCTGTTGTCTCCTTCGAATTCTTTTCTACTGGAACAGCTTTCTTTCAAATGAGTCCTTTTCAACTAGAGTTTGAGCCCTAAACGTCTTAGGGGTAGGGGTCTTGGTCAGCCAAGGTTAAGGAAAAGCTACTTGAGAGACGGAAACCCAAGAAGGAGACAGCGAGGGAGGGGGAAGAAACGGACGCGAAGGAGAGAAAAACAGCAGGCTAGAGGGGTTGGGAGGACAACCTAGCCCACTTGGGGATGCAGAAGACCTGATTTTTGTCTTGGCATCTGCTTCTAATTGTGCGGCGCTGCCCGGGTTCCCTACTTCAGCCTCAGAGCCCACTACTTGTATGCGGGACAGTGGAAATGCGTGGGTACGCCTTACATGGGTGCGGGGTGGCACTCAGGACAGTCAGGAGCACGCGGCGACGAGCTGATTCTTGTAGCCGCGCCCAAGAACCTCTGCCTTTGCGGGGCATCTGCCCATTGATGTACTGGCAGACAGGAATCCTCTCCTTTATGAGGACGCCTGCATGTGGGCACCCAGAAGAGCAGTGGGTGGCTAGAAAGATCCTAGTTCAGGGTCTGGGGTCATACCGGGAGGTGGTAGCTTGGATGTGTGCGGTGCGGAGGATCTCACCCGACTCTGGTCTCTCCAGGGAGGGCGAAAAGGCAATAGAGCGACCCAAGTACGACGGGACTCTGCCTGGGCAATGTTATTGTCCCTATTATATTCCGCGTATCTCCAAGGGCTAAAAGCCACTCGGCTTTGCATTTTTGTCCTCTGTCGGGCATGAAGGTGATATGTGAGGAGCCTGAGATCCCTGGATACCTACGGAATGTCAGTCCCCCGTCGACCCCTTCCCTTGCGCTCTGGAGTTGAGTCGGAATCCAGCCTCAGCTCTGTTGCTAATAGATCAGCAGGAACTCTTTGTTTAATGGACTCGAAAACCCTCTGCCTTTCACCTCGGTCTATTCTCAAAGTTCCGTGTGCCTAGCACTTTTCCTGGGTGATAGGCACTGGAGCACTCCGCCACACCACAGAATGAGCCAAACTAGCTAAGTTTAGGGGCATCTATTATTCATGTTCCTAGCAGATTCTCTCCAGCCCAAAATAGAAGCCGGAGGTTCTCTGTGACCTACATCCGCGCAGGGAAGGGCTCCCCTGGGTTGGACGGCTTGGAAGGGGGTGGCTGCTGCCAGAGGTGGCCTCCTGAATCCTACCTACCCACTCACCCGCCTTCCATTCTGCTCTGGGTCTAACTGCCTTGGCTCATATCATCTCTTAGGATCTTTCTGGTGCGTTCTAAATGCTACTTGGTGGGGAGAGGGCTGGCCTTTCACTTGGCCAGGTATTGGGGTCTACACGGTTGTTCAGTTCTCTTGGGATCATTGATCCGCTTGAAGAGACATGAGCGAATTTCCTTGTGAAGTAGGAACTGCTGCTGCGGTGTAGTTCCCTTACGTCGTCTCTAGGACTGTTCTAGACGAAAGGACAATTCTTCGTGGGAGGCCATAACGAAGAAAGAAAATAAATTCTTGGGACCTGGCAGAACTGGGAGAGGTACTTTTGACTCTCCTGGCTATCCCACAGGCCAGAAGATGAGGCTTACGACCAGGACGGGAACCCGTTGCATGACTTCTACGACTGGGACCCCCCGGGCGTAGGGAGCCCCGCCTCCGCGCTGCGTGACGCCTATGCCCTCTACTATCCTGCTGACAGGAGGTAAAAACCCGGCCGACTTCCGCCTGACTTGACGGGGGCGGGGGGGGGAGGGGGGAGAGGACGGAGGGAACCCGGTAGTTGCTCTAAAACTAGGGCCTTCCCATGAAAGTCTAAGTCTCCCTTCTATCTGGGTGAATCCAGAAAATTAGCAGACAGATCCCTGTGAACCTGAGGCCGCACCACGGACTGAAAACTGCGGCATGAGAGATGTCCGTGAGTGTGCAACTCCGTAGGTGGGGCGCTCTCAGGTCACCCCAGGGGTCAGGACTAAATCCTATCTTAGATTTATCCCCGGGAACTTCCCAAAGTAACTTCAGGTCCTGTGTCTCTAGTAGTTGTCCGGTCATCCTCCTCGAAAACCCAGCAAGTGGGGACCTTGGTTGTCACTTGAAAAACTGAGGCACTGAGTGACCCAGGTTTCATACTTTGTCTCCCCGTTAGAGATGTCGCCCACGAGATCCTTAACGAAGCCTACCGCAAAGTCTTGGACCAGCTGTCCGCCAGGAAGTACCTGCAGTCGGTCGTGGCCAGGGGCGTGGGGTAAGAGTTTGTGACAGAGTTAATCCGCGGGTGAAGAGCGCGCCAGGCTGGGTGACAATACTGAGAGCGCGTAGGGAGGGCGGGGCATATCTTGTACGTTTCTGCGCTCCAGAGCGCCTGTGCGCGGGAGGGTGTGTCTGCGTCCTGGCATCTAGGTGGAAACTACCAGCCTGGGCGGAGATCTAGAAGTTGGGCTTTTAAATTTAAGAGCCAGAGACCCCGTGAGAGAGAAAGAGGGTAGGAAAATTGGGGTTTGGATCCTTGTTGAATGAGAACAAGTTAAATCAAATGGCCCCCTTACCAGTCGTTCAAAACCCTCGAGGTTCGTGAAAGCGCTTGCCATAATTTGGCATCACGTTTACTATGAAGGCAAACCTAAGGCACAAAGTCCCCAATTTAGATACTTGAAAGAAACCGTTTTTGCTCCGGCCAGACAAACCAAGAGCTAAGGTCTTGCATGTGTCAGCAGAAGGCAACATTTAAATAAAGCCCACGAGGAAGCCGATTAAATTTTAACCATGAATAATTCATGCGGTGAAAAATATTGCCTACAGCCTGTCGCTTTATAACACTATCACGTTTTTTTTTTTTTCAACTTAACGTAGGCAAAGAGAGAGGAGTATCCGTGTTTGCCTAGATTTGTGGGATCGATAATTTAGCAGGAGCCAGTGACGCCTTTAGCAACCTTTGTATCTCCGGTAGTGGAAAGGTACACTTTAGCTAGACATAGTGATAATGTAATCTTGAGAAGCATCCTTTGGAGAAAAGATTAAAGAGCGAGCACTCTCCGGACGCCCGGGATGCTTCAGAAATATCTGGAAAGATCTGAAAGGGTCCCGGTCGTAGAAGTCCTGCAGCGTGTTTCCACAGCTAGGAAACTGTGGGTGGGAAGGAGGGTCCCCCGGGTCTCTGTCACAGTATTCCCGTCAGCTGGGGTGCGGCAGAGCAGGGCTGCGCAGGGAAGTTCAGAATCCCGTAGGCTCCGGCGTGGGGGTAGGGCACACTTGTTTCTTTCGCACACACTCAACGTATCTCCTGCCCCGCCCCCTCTCCTTGCAGCGAGAATCTAGGCGGCGGCGCAGCGGACGACCGGGCACCCCTTACCAAGCGCCACTCGGACGGCATCTTCACCGATAGCTACAGCCGTTACCGAAAACAAATGGCTGTCAAGAAATACTTGGCGGCCGTGCTAGGGAAAAGGTATAAACAGAGGGTTAAAAACAAAGGACGCCGAATAGCGTACTTGTAGCGATGAGTTGCCAGCTACGGTGTGTATAACATGAAAATTCGTTTTCCAAATTGACTGACCAGTCATCGCTCATGTGTTCTTTCCAAACATGTATTTATGTATGAAGTAAAGCCATTAAATGACTATTTTGATAATAATATTGTTTTTCTTTTTACGAAGCACTAGAGAATGCACAGATATACTTTGTGGACCAATTATTGATATATATTATAAATATATATTAAGAATATATATAAGTATAACAGAGAGCAATTCTTAAGCGTGCACAAGGATTGAAAATTCGCCTGAGCTGTTTATGTTTTTATATAAAATGAATAGAAAAAATAGACAATCATCGTTTTGAATATTACTCCTATTTTTGTAAACTGGAATTAAAGGATAGTATTTTTATCCACAACAGGCCTGAAGGTACCAAAAATGGCCGTTTGCTACTGTACAAAAAACGATGCCCTGCTTCAGGGGAATTCTGAGGTAATGACTGGGGGAATTGCTGAAGGGCTTCCTTTCCCTGCGAGTCTCTGGGGCAGGCTGCTTGAATCCCAGCCTAACTAACTCAAAGGGGCTTTGTCCCATTGGCTGCGGGCAATTCCAACACTTTGGCTTTCTTTGATTCTCCTTTTATGTGTATTTGTCTCTCCTCAGACTCTCAGCCCAGAAGGAAATTCTAATTAATCAACAGCTCTATCCAAATTGTGCTTCTCCCCAGAATTTACGTCATTCTCTGGGAGAAAAGTTGAGGAATTGTACAGAGGAGATCGGCTTGGAGATAAAGCTCTCTTTTCTGTACTTCCTGATTCTCCAGGGAACCGACTATCCCAAGGTTAGGGCAATTGGAACCAGGTGAAAGAAGTAGAGGCGGATTGGAGGAGGCAGAGCGTGGGTGGCAGAGGAAGACTCTGCAGAGGGACTGGTTTGAGAACTGCCCCAGGTCTGAGAATCTGGGGGCAAGTCCAACCCCTTTGTAGGTTCCACTGCCTGACAAGTTGGGTGCTGGATATTGGAATCGAGTGCAAAGTACAATGTGTTTTTCTCCAGTGCTGTCTGTCCATGCTTCTCGTTTTGTGAAATGGCCAGGATCCCCCTCTTTGAATCCTCTTCTGTAGAAGCCACCCCTGTTCTTTGTGGTTTTTCTGGAGAACTCTCCTTTCTACCCCTACCCTCCTGCATTGTTTAAGAATCATTTGCCATTTTCACTTCTCTTAAGTTTGTGAATGCTACTCATTTTTTGTTGTTGTTTGATGCAAGCAGTGACTGTGAAGTTTAGGAACCCCTGTGTAGCTACCACGAAGTAATTATGCACTAAATATGAACCTTTTGTTTCTTGTTTATTGAGTTTGTAGGTAAAATGTATTTTTCTACATTATGGCTTATTGCTTAGTAAAATTGTTTCATAAAACCAATCTTTGTCATATTAGAATGTGTAGTGTTCCAATATTGCTCAGTTTGACTAACTGATAAATCATTTAAACCCCATCTTCATATGTATGAGTACTATCTTATATCTCTGGTCAAGAGTGGGGTAAGCAGGATCCCACATTCACTCTTGTATCCTGTCTTGGCTAAAGAAAGCATGTCTGTTTCTTGTCAATTTCTTGAACATATGTGGAGTAATCTTTATAAACAAAAGAACCTTCACCCAGTAACCAGATCAAGCAACAACAAACCAGCAAGTCTCCAAATTTTAGGTACAAATTTTCAAAAAATAAAAAAAAAAAACAAAAACAGAAAACAGAAAAAAAAACCCATTAGTTTGTAAAGTTTAAAGTACTTTTCATTTTTCCTGTACAGATTTGGTTAGTATGAAGTCAGGCATCTAAAAAAACAGAACTGTATTTGCATTCCCAGGCGGGTGGATGGATGCTGTCCCGTGATCACATTGCAAACAGAGAAAGCAGGCATTTGATCTCAGCCTGTGTCCGGCTACAGGATCAATCTTTATTTCTGCAGTCTCCTCAGGCAATGTGACCCGGGATGCAGTTTGCAGCTTTAGTGCCTTTCTTTGCCTTTTAAATCGCCACGAATCACAGATGGCTATTTAGTGGCCCTACAATGCTGCAACACATCGGCTTGCGTTTTAGTCTTAATTATTTGTTTCTTGGATAATGGGCAGACTTTTCTGTATTTGTGTCAGCTGTTAGTGGTGAAACAAGGCTCTAGTGAACCTTTTCTTTATGAAGTCTAACTTAGTGTTCACGTGGCTAGTGGCAAGCATTTTACAGTGATCACCCAATTTAACCTTTTGTATACTTTTTAGAAATGCCAAGAGCCTTATTAACCTGGAGCAGATTTATAATATAGTGATGATATAGGTAGATGTTAGTCTTGAAACTCTTATTTTGTGTGCATCTGATTATAAAAACATATTAACCAAGCATTATTACACACATAATATCTATAATTAGGTCTTTGATAACTGTTATATAAAGCGTGTAAAATTTGTATGAATAAATTTTTGTAAACAATTCACTTTGGTCTAATGTTTGGAGAAAAAACATATTCAGGAAATAGTCATTTTTAAATCTTTTAAAGTACGATATTTCTTTAACAGCCATAAGATTTTTTTCATGTCTGGAATATTTATCAGCCTAAACATTCATGCATTTCATAAATTGTACTCTAACATCTGTTTGATGAGGTACTGGACTCAACAAAGAAACTTTAAAGTAGCTGCTTGAACATTTGTAAGCTACATAGATTAGTTTCTGTCTGCTGGTATGTACATATATGGCTTAGTATTCAGAAAGTTACCAGGCAGTGGGAGCATATCATATTGTAGTGTTAGGAACACTTGTAAAGTAGTTATTTAGCTCAAAAAAAAAAGTACCTGTATACTAGCTAGGTCTTAATGAAATTTTGTATAAAAATGGTGTAAATAATCAGTTTGGGGACGTAGAATGTATTTAGAGATGTGAGTTATGGTTCACTAGAATGTTTTCAGTAGAAGGATCAACGACATGATTAATCAGCGTTAACCAGAGTTTTAAAAGAAAATGTACCTTGAAGCCTAAAGAAAAATAGTAAGGTCATCTGTGGATAATATAGGCTACTAACTCAAATAAGGAAGATTTCAAGGAAAGCCTTCATATGAAAATCCCATACATTTCCAGGGGTATTTTTGGTATCCTTGTCTATTTCTGGGTTAAAAATACTTTGAGAATCACTAATCATAGTTCATACCATTTAATGTAAAATGTCATATTTTCATTCTAAAAATTACTAAAATTAGTTGGACTCTATTAAAAATCACTAAATATGTCACAATATTATTTAAAGGCTAGTAAAACTTCAAAAATTATTCTTAGAGCATAGCTCAGCATTTTAGAACCATATATGGAAGAGCCCAAATCTAGAAATTAGGTATATGTAGAAAATAAGAAAAGAATATAATTGTAACCGCGTAAGCGAATGCAGACAGATTGTCAAAATATAGACAGCTTTAATGGAGGAATAGACTTACAGAACCACCGTTCCCGCCCTGAGGCGAACACGCCCCCTAAAGGGTGGGACTTATCCCTACATATAACATAATTAGTTTATATCAGATTTTATTAGCTAAGGAAAATTTTTTCTTCATTTGTAATTTTCCTCTCTCTATGTCACAGTGTAGTAAATAAAATGGAGAAAGACAATTTGTTTTAATGAGGGATAATATAATGATTTGTCAAAGAAGTAATGAAAAGCCCTAAACTTGGCTGACATCAAGTGAAATTCAGATATGCAATTTCACTTGGTGTATTTTTTATACAGGATAAATGCTAGGCATTAATACGAAGACAAGATAGTTGAGTTTTCAAGGGTCTAAAATATATGCTTTGCTGCTGTAAGGACTGGGACCATAGAGATCCAATATAATACAGATTAAACAGCTGAAATGGGTAGGTGTAAAGGTGAAAGAGCTTGACTGACATGTAGTTGCACTTCTGTAACAAGATAATTGGGGCCTTCTTAGTGATGCAAAGTCTAGGGTTATACCAGAATCAATGAGCCTACATTTTAAATAAAAATGCTACACTGGTGTGTGTTAAGTTTAAGACCACTTAGATTTAGAATTTGATGACATATATAGATAGGAACATATATTTTCAAGTTAGTTTGTTTTATATTAAATAACCATCAGGTTATGCTCCTTGCATACAGTAATCAGTAGAAGTCACATCTGCATCCCCTCCCCTGCAAGAATAGGCATTAGGCTTTTGGAGAAGTATAATAGCTCACTTAAGTCATTAAGATCACTAATTAGTATGATTTTATGTAAGTATTCTGATTTCCTGCTCCCCACCACACTTATAGGTAGTTCCTAAAGGAGAGTGATTTTCTAAATAGAATTTTAGAACCTTCAATCTCATGGTTAGACGATCAGTGATATGTAGAGAGCCTTGTAGCTACCTGGTACTAATTATGGGGACCAAGAAATCAACTTCCAGTTGTATTACATCTCGATTTGGTTGTAACAGTTTTAAACCTCTGAACTGTTCACAAGATGACATCACCTGGAAGTGTCACTATGGCCTCAATCCACCCTTTACACCAGTACAGTATTAGAAATCACAGCTAAATTAGTAGCATACATGTTCCCCTTGCTGTTGCTCTTGCCACTACACTGGATCCCTACATCAATTTGCAGTTTGTCATTGAGACCTGGATAATTCTCCTTCAATCAAACAGTTTTAGCTCTTTTGTATCCTGTCCTTTGAATGAGCCAGCACTGTCACAGAGTTCCAGGTTCTTCTAGTTACTTTTCTATGACTCTTTTGTGACCCCCTTTCCCATGAGAATTGTTTTAGCATATACTTATAAAAATAGGTATATACACCAAACACCATAACAAATCATACATCTATTTTTGAATAATTTTACTATTTATAATAGATGAAAAGCAAATTTTGCACACTAATGATTTTTGTTAGTATTTGCATACTAATGTACTTATTTTTACATAAATAATTGACTATTGACTATTATTTGATACTGAAGAATATCTTCAACCTTTATCAGAGTTAATTGATAATTTATAGTCAATGATACCGAGGATGCTGTTTGCATGAATACATATTATAAAATCTCAGAAGTATGTTTAGGGCCATTTTAGATAAATCTGGAAATTAAACTTTAATATCGTGCCAAAATTTATATATTGATTCTTTAAAATGAAACTCAAGTCAACATTTAAACCACCAATATTAAAAATCAAGTTCAATATAGTCAAAAGTCTAAATTGATACCTATTGAGGAGTAAGGAATACTAAAATTGTTTCCCACAATCAAACCATTATGGTTGTATAAAAACATAAAATATTTTGTGTATAGCAACAACACTGAGTTCAAAACCTAAAATGGTCTTGAGTCTGAGATGAGATGGTTCAGCCTGTAATTATTGGCACTGTGTCTGGTGTTGCAGTACACAAAGTACAAAGTGTAAATATTGTGTGTTCAGAACAAAGGTTGCCATGAAGTTATATGAAACACTTCTGATTCATTTTGCACTTGAGTTTGGAATACTTTTTTTGCTTTTTTGTTTTGGGAAACCTTTTACTGTTGTCAGATTTCTTCCGGACATGTTCAGTTACATGACACATTGTGAGATTGCAACTCACAGTTTGAGAAGTTGTCATTAGAAGGACACCTTCACAGTCTTTGAAATGAGAATGTATTTTTCTCTATTCTGGTAATCTCTCTTGACCTGTTATATCTCCTCTACCTGTTCAATGTCAATCGACTGTAAAGTCCAAGGACTCAAGTCTCCTTCCTTCCTCTGTATCCTCCTTTGTGTGCCCCCACCTCTCTTGTTGGCCTTAGACACAAACCCCTTTGCCTCTACATCCCAACTGCTTTCGCACTACAGCAGATTCATCAAATGCCATGAGATAGTAATCCCTGCCTAGGATAGAGGAAAAGAGGTATCTTAAGATTCAAACAGGGAGCCAGGCAGTGGTGGCGCACGCCTTTAATCCCAGCACTCGGGAGGCAGAGGCAGGCGAATCTCTGTGAGCTCGAGGCCAGCCTGGTCTACAAGAGCTAGTTCCAGGACAGGAACCAAAAGCTACGGAGAAACCCTGTCTTGAAAATCAAAAAAAAAAAAAAAAAAAGAAAAAAAAAAAGATTCAAACAGGGAACTAAACTGTCCTCAAATTGATAGTTATCATAGTAGTTATCTATGATTGATGGAGAAACTTCCTTTTCAACTAGAATGTAATTTGAAACATGATTTGGTAGATAGGAAAATTGAGATTATAGAACAATTTATATTTCCTTTATGTTTTTTTTTTTTTTTACCAACAGTTTAGTATTCTAGCAGGTGACACCATCTGCTTTAAGTTACATTCTTGTTGAGTGTTATAGAACACTAACTCGGGAAGGGGTAGTCTGTGTGCAACACAAAGATAATAACATGTCGTCATGCCTGGTTCATTTGTGCTTAAACACCCCTAATTTTGGTTGATTAACAACACATTCTCTATACAGGATATGAGTTTATGAGATATTAACTGACTTCTAGATACAGTCAAAAAGATAATTGAATCCCTTAATAACAAGTCATACCTGTTATGTGATTCATTTTAGGATAGTGCGATTAGAGAGGACTTTTTTTCTGGATGCTTCCAGGAAGAATGTTATTTGTTTCTCCTAAATAGTTGGTATATAATGTTATACCATACAAGAAGGCAGCCTCAACTATGGAAAGATGGCTCAGTGGTTACGAGTACATACAGAAGATCCCAACTATGGACATTTGATTGGGTTTACATTACCAACCATGAATTCCTCCATTGAAGCAGGCCTCTGTTCAACTAGAAAACAATTGGAAGTCATGTCACTATTATACTAGTGTGCACATTTTCCAGG